AACCTGCGTGTCCGGAGCCTGTGCTCCGCAATGGGAGAGGCCACAACAGTGAGAGGCCCGTGTACCGCAAAAAACAAAAAACAAACAAAAAAAAACGGAGGGACGGCTTGTTGTGCCCACATCTCTCTAATGCTACAAGGATAAAAAGAGAAGGCGGGCAAATGGCCTAAGGGAAGTATGATGAGGATGACCAGTGTCAGGTAGGTATGAGATCTGCTCCTTTGCCGGTCAGGTCCCAGCAGCCCAAGCCATGTGATCAAATGCCTGACCTACCATCAGTTCCCAGGGACTCTTGGGGGTGGCTTCTAGGAATCCAGGATCCACCAAGCTTACCAGTTCTGTTCCCATTCTCGCAGGACTCAGCTGAGAAGAAGATGTAATCTACTGTCATTCCAAGACCCAAGGGCATTGTGGTGACCTCTGGGCGGCCATGCTGGGGCAGGAAATGAGTATATACCGAGGTCAGGTGGAGGCAGTGCTGGATGGTGCCTACAGTCCTTCGGGGATGGAGGGGAAGATGTCAGTCAACAAACATTACTGAACTTTTCCCAAGGTCACTTCTCTGTGGGTTTTATCAAGTTTTTTAAGGGATGATCCCAAATAACTCAACCTCAGCAAATGCCTTCCCATGCTAATTAAGAGGCTGAGAGTCTTAGCTAAAATTAGCCTAGAAACAGACACATTTATATACAGTCCTGCTGACATTTCTCACCCCCCACTCTCCTCTTGCTACCTGATGAAGTATACCTAATGTACCCTTGTCCATGGGTCAGCAAGCTCTTCTGTGAGGCCTTAATCCCAAAGGAAAAGGGCAGGGGCTTTTCATCTGCAAGAACCTAGGTGGGTCACCTCTGGCCTCTGCACACCAGTATGTTCCTCCATAAACTTAGCACACACAAGGGGAAGACAGAGCTCAGCAAAATGTGTTCACCCAAATCAGCCCCAGGAAAGCCAACAGGAATCTCTCTAATACACCTCGATGGGGCTGGAATGCAAGCAGAAGGGAACTGGAAGATTACCTGGGGAAGTCAGGCTCAGGCTCAGATACGTCTTCCTCAACGACAGGCTCGGCCCAGCCAGCAGGTCGCTCTGTAGAAGACCGGAGAGAAAGGGTTTTATCAATCACAGACAGTGAAGCAGGGTTAGAACCCTGCACCCTGAAATCCCACTCAGATCCTTGACTGGATTGTTCCAGAAGGGAAAAGGGAAAGAGAAAAGGTGAGGAGAGGAAGAAAACAATGGACCAAAGTCAAGAACCTCAGGAAGCAGACAGACAGAGGTCTCTAACACAGACATCTCTTCCCTGGCTCAGCAACTTCTTTAAAAATTTAAATTCATTCTTTAGAATAGGTAATACAGTCTCATGGTACAAAAATCAAAATGTAGAGAAAAATATCAGTGAAAAGGCTCCCTCCCACTCTGGGACCTTGCCACTCAATTCCTCTCTCCAGAGGCAACCAATGTTAACAAACTCCTGGCGTATTCCTCCAGAGATTTTCTATCACCCACCATCCATTGTGTGCATATATGTATCTGTGTATGTATGCGTATACATATGTATGCACACACACGTATCCATACTTATACACACCTATACATGTACACACACATACACAAAGAAAAAGACACACATTACCAATATCAGGAGAGAAAGAGGGAATATTATTACAGCTCTTACTGACATTAATATGTATTATGAACTGAATGTTTGTCTCCCCAAAATATGTTGAAATCTTAACCCCCAGTGTGATGGCATTAGGAGGTGGGGCCTTTAGGAGGTAATTTGGCCTTGAGGGTGAAGCCCTCATGAACAGGATTAATGCCCTCATAAAAAGGATCCCAGAGAGCTGTCCTTTTTGCCATGTATGGATGCAACAGTAAGTTGGCAATCAGCAACCCAGAGGAGGGTCCTCACCGGAACTGGACCATGCTGACACCCCGACCTTGAACTTCCAGCCTCCAGAACTGTGAGAAATAAATTTCTGTTGTTTATAAATTACTCAGGCTGTAGTGTTTTGTTATAACAACCCAAACTAAGAAAAAGAATAAAAAGGATCAACAAAATTGACAAACCCTTAGCTAGACTGACCAAGAAAAAAAGAGAAAACTCAAATTACTAAAACCAGGAATGAAAGAGAGGGCCATCACCACCAACCTTAAGAAATAAAAAAATTATAGGGATATGATAAACAATTGCACACCAACAAATTAGACGACTTAGGTAAAATGGACAAATTCCTAAAAAGACAAAAACTACACAAACTGACTCAAGAAAAAGAAGAAAATCTGAATAGTTCTATAACAGTTAAAGAGACTGAATTAGCAATTTAAAAATTCTCACAAAGAAAAGCCCAGGCTCAGATAGCTTTACTAGTGAATTCTGCTAAACATTAAAAAAGTAATATGAATCCTTCACAAATACTTCCAAAATATAAAAGAGGGGACACTTCCCAACTCATGCTATGAGGTATTATTCTGATATCAAAACCAGACAAAAACATCACAAAGAATGAAAACTAGAGACTAATATTGCCTATGAATGTAGATGCAAAATGCCTCAACAATTACAGTTCTGATTTATAAGAAATGTATATTTGGTCATTCAGATGACCAAATATATATTTCTCATATACAGTCAGTCTTCATATACAGTCTTAGTCCACAGTTGCTGGTTCAAAGCTCCCCAAACCCTTAGAATTTCCTGAGTGTTGAGAGTGAGAAAGGTGCCTTTTGTTATGTTCATGAGGCAATTTTGGAAAATACCTAAGGTTGGGGGCTGGTTGCCAATGGAACCAACCATGTGATTAGAGGAACTTTCAGTCCCACCCTATGACCTCTAGGGAGCAGAGAGAGGTTGGAGGTGGAATCAATCACCAATGACTAAGGATTTAATAAATCATGCCCATGTAATGAAGCCTTCATAAAACCCAAAAAGGACAGGGTTTGGAAAGCTTCCAGGTTGGTGAACTTATGGAGATTCAAGGGAGAATGGTGCAACCCAGAGAGGGCATGGAAGCTCCACATCCCTTCCTACATACCTTGCCCTATGCATCTCTTCTGTACAGCTGTTCCTGAGTTATATCCTTTTATAATAAACCAATGATCTAGCAAGTGAAATGGTTCTCTAAGTTCTGTGAACCACTCTAGCAAATTAATCTAACCCAAGGAAGGAGGGGATAGTGGGAACCTCTGATTTATAGCCAGTTGGTCAGAAGAAGCACAGGGAACAACCTGGTCTTTTGACAGGCACCTGAAGTGTTGGAGGGGTGGGTCTTGTAGAACTGAGCCCTTAACCTGTGGAATCTGATGCTATCGCTGGGGAGACAGTGTCAGAATTGAGTTGAATTATTTGTTGGCGTTGGGGGAAACTCCTCCTCCCCCATGTTGGAAAACGAGTCTCAGAACAATATACTGGCAAACTAAATCCAGCAAAATAGAAAAATGACTATATACTATGAGCAAATACGATTTATCCTAAAAATGTAAGGTTGGTTTAACATCTGAAAATCAATTAATATAATACATCATACTAACAGAATACTGAAGAACAAAAACCACATGATTATCTGAATAGTCACAGAAAAAATATCTGACAAAATCCACTCCTTTATGACCAAAAAACAAACCCACAACACTTAAAAAACTAGGAATAAAAGAGAACTTCCTCAATCTGGTGAAGGGAATCCACAAAACACAAACAAATAAAAAACAAACAAAAAAACCTCATGGCTAACATCATACTCAATGCTAAAAGACTGAAAACTTTACCCCTAAGATCAGGAATAAGACAAGAATATTCGCTGTCACCACTCAACACTGTAATGAGAGTTCTAGCCAGGACAATTATGGAAGAAATAAAATGCATCCAAATTGGAATGGAAAAAAGTAATACTATTTCTATTTGCAAGATGACATGATCTTATATATAGAAAATCCTCCACTAAAAAACTATTAGAACTAATAAATGAGTTTGAGGGACTTCCCTGGTGGTGCAGTGGTTAAGAATCTGCCTGCCAATGCAGGGGACACGGGTTCGAGCCCTGGTCAGGGAAGATCCCACATGCTGCGAAGCAACTAAGCCCATGTGCCACAACTACTGAGCCTGCGCTCTACAGCCTGAGAGCTGCAACTATGGAGCCCACGTGCCGCAACTACTGAGCCCACATGCCACAACTACTGAGCCCACGAGCCACAACTACTGAAGCCCGTGAGCCTATAGCCCCTGCTCCACAACAAGAGAAGCCACTGCAATGAGAAGCCTGTGCACCACAACGAAGAGTAATCCCTGCTCATTGCAACTAGAGAAAGCCCACATGCAGCAATGGAGACCCAACGCAGCCAAAAATAAATAAATAAATAAATAAATTTATTTTTAAAAAACTGAGTTTGAAAGATTGCAAGATACAAGACTGATATCCAAAAATTGCATCTCTATACACTAGCAATGAATAATCCAAAAATGAAATTCAGAAAATATTTCCATTTATAAAAGTAACAAAAGGAATTTTAAATAGTTACAAATAAATTTTACAAAAGAAGTATAAGACACACTGAAAGCTATAAAACATGGAAAGAAATTAAAGATCTAAATAAATGGGAAAACTTCCATGTTCACTGATCGTAAGATAATACTGTTAAAATGGCAACACTTCCCAAACTGATCTACAGATCTGTAAATCCCTACCAAAATCCCAACTAACTTTTTTGCACAAATTGACAAGGTGATCCTAAAATCCACATAGAAATGTATAAGAGACCCAGAATAGCCAAAATAATCTTGAAAAACAACAATGAAGTTACAAGATTTACACTTCTCTATTTCAAACTTATACAAAGCTAAAATAATCAAGGCAGAGTGGTACCGGCATAAGGATAGGCATATAGATGAATGGAATAGAACTGAGAGTCCAGAAACCCATACGCCCACTGTTGATTTTTTACAAGGGGAGGCGTAAAGGGAAAATAACTGCTAATGAATATGGGATTCCTTTTGGGGGTGATGAAAATGTTGTAAAATTATATTGTGATGATGGTTCCACAACTCTGAATATACTAAAAGCCACTGATTTGTACACTTTAAATGGGTGAATTTTATGGTATGTGAATTCTACCTCAATAAAGTTATTTTTTAAAAAAGGTAAGAGAATGTTATGGACAACTTCATGCCAATAAATTTGTTAATTTATATGAAATGAAATATTCCTACATTTTCCCTGTTAAATTGTTTTCTTTTTGTTGCTATTATAAATAGGGTCTTCTTAAACTTACATCTTATAACAAATATATCATTATTTTATTATATGAATACTATTGATTTCTGTATATTAATATTCTACCCAGATACTTTCCAGAATTAATGCTAATAATAGTTGTTAGTTGATTCTCTTGGATAATCAGTTATATGACCATATTAACAGCAAGTAATAGTTTACCCCCTCCTTTCCATTGTTTACTTCTATTTTCTTGTCTATATTTCTATGTTCTGTTTCTAATTCTGTGGCTGGTGTCTCTCACAGTTGAATGACAGTAGTCATCCCTATCTTGTTCCCAACTTTGACAGGAATGCTACTAGATTGTCTTCTTTAAGCAAGATACTCATTTTTGGATTGAGATGAATGCTTTTGTTCTTTTTTCTTTTTCAGGCATCTGGCGGCTCCACGCCCCTTCCTCCACGGGGCACCAAAGCGCTGACTGACCAAGATAAATGTATTTTAAGGGTATAAGGAATTATCTATTTTTTCCTTAAGAAGGTTCTTTTTAAAAGAATCTGGAATAGATGTTGAATTTTAACAAATGTCTCTGACATCTACAGGATGACATGCATTTCTATTTTTTAATAGATTTCATATATTTATTAGCATGATAAATATATTAATAGATTTTCCAATACTGAAATACCTTCATATTTCTGATAAACTCTATTTGGGCATAGTATATTGCTCTTGAAATGTGATGTTAGATTCTGTTTCCTGATCTTCTATGTACATTTTTTGCATCAATATTCGTAAGTGGAGAATATTAAGGTCTGTAGTTTTCTTTTCCTGTGTAACTGTTGTCAGGTGTTGGTGTCAAATACTTCTTTTGTAAAA